ATTTGGGCCTCTAACCCAAAGTCCTTCAAGTCTTGCCTTTTATTAAGAAGGGACTTTAACCCATTCTGCCTTAGGAGAGACTCTAACTTCCCTATTGGGCCTCCATCACAATCCCATTCTTTACCTGGGTAGGTTCTCCACCGCTTACCCAAAGTCATCCAATCAGTGCTACAGTCTATTTCCTTGGGTTGTGGGGAGGTCTCCTTAGTAGCTTTCCTTCAGGGTTTGCCAGGAAGATGTTATGGGACCCCAACACTTACCTAAAGTTATTTTGATTCCGGGGTTTCCTCACTGTAGTCCCTTCATCGTCACCAGAAAGCAGTTACAGGAAAGGCTCCTTATCCAGACCCCAAGAGAGGGTTCTTGGATCTCATGAAAGAAAGAATTCAGGGGGAGTCCATAGGGTAAAGTGAAAGCAGGTTTATTAGGAAAATAAAGGAATAAAAGAATGGCTTCTCTATAGATAGAGCAGCCCTGAGGGGTGGTTGTTGCTGGTTTTTATGGTTTTATCCTGTTCATATGCTAAACAAGGGATGGATTATTCATGCTTCCCCTTTTTAGACCAAGAGGGTAACTTCCTGATGTTGCCATGACATTTGTAAACTGTCATGGTGTTAGTGGGAGTGTAGCAGTGAGGACGACCAGAGGTCCCCCTGTGCCTATCTTGGTTTTGGTAGGTCTTGGCTGGCTTCTTAACTGCAACCTGTTTCATCAGCAAGGTCTTTATGACCCTTATCTTGTGCTGACTGCCTGTCTCATCCTGTGACTTAGAATGCCTTAATCATCTGGGAATGCAGCCCCGTAGATTTCAACCTTATTTTACCCAGCTCCTGTTTAAGATGGAGTTGCTCTGGTTCACATGTCTCTGAAAAATCCACCCTTGAAAGTGGAATCATCTGATTCAAACTCCTATTTTTGTACTTTTGCCTTTCAGGCTACTTCCCAGCATGACTTCCTTCATCAGCTGCCTTTTTTCAGCTGCTTGGAAATAGAGCCTTATAATAGTTTTCTCTTACTGCTATACCCTATTACTGCAAGCTTAGTGGCTTAAAACAACACAAACTTATTATCTTATAATTATTTTGGTTAGCAGTCCAGGATGGGTCTCATTGGCACTTTGCTTTTTGGAGACTCTAGGAGAGAATACATTTGTTTGTTTTTTCTCTTCTAGCTTCTAGAGGCCTCCCACATTCCTTGACTTGTGGCCCCTTTCATTATTTTCAGCCAGCAACAGCAGGTAGAATTGTCACATCGCTCTCACCATAGTCACTTTTAAGTACCTTTGTGTTTACATTTAGCCCACCTGCAAGTCAAGATAATCTTCCTGCCTCAAGGTTAGCTAATTAGCACACTTAACTACCTACAAACTTAATTATCTTCTATTATCTATGGTAACATAGTTACAGGCTCTGAGGTTTAGGACATAGACATCTTTCAGAGTTATCCTACCTACCAGTAGCCCTTAGACAGAAAACGAAGGCAAGGGTGGTTAAATTTAAGGAATACACTTTGGAAGAAGAAGGATAGAAGAGGCAAACCTAGGATCAAATCACTGTAGACATTGCTGATTTTTTTTTTCTTAACAGACACATAACGAACACCTGTTAAATATTAGGTGCTGTTTCACACCTGAGAATAGAGGCATAAACACTAAGTCAGCATCCTCACCCCTATATTAATTGTGTCTAATCATTCATTAAACATGGGTGCCGTGCCTAGGAGAAGATTCTAGGGAAGGAATAATGGAAATATATGTTCTTTGACCACAGGGATTTTGTAGGCCCATGGTAAGATCACTATACCAATAAACATGATGATCTGGTATTTGCAGAAAGGGAAAATTGTGTAAGGCATGAAGAATACAGAGGAAAGCGTCTACAATCTTCTTGGGAAAATGGCACATTTCATGTAGTGTTGTTGTTTTAAGTTATATTTGAAAGTGCAGAATAAATTTGCAGATGTGCCATGTAAGGGAAATACTATGCACAGCATGTTTGGAGATAGAGTTCAGTGTTGCTTACAGTGAGTGGGATTGTGTGTGGTGGGTGTGGCTGGATTTCATACTAGGTTTGTAATCATAGAAACCTTTGTATATGTAAAACAATTTTTTTCACCCACCTATCTCCTTCCTAGATGGATTTAACCCCTTCCCACTTTCCATCACACCCAGGGCTCTCCTTGTTTGCCACAATGTAGGAAAGTAGAAAATGATTTAACAGATTGAAGAAGATAGAGAGCTTGTCAGCATACTATACACAGGTGTACTTGAAGAGCTGGTGAAGACATAGAGACAAAGGGGCGATTATATTGTGTGTGTTTCAATCAAGCTTGATATGGCCTGGTCATTTGGCTTTCTTCTCCTCTGGATGTGTCTGAGATTGTGAAGCACTGACCCATTCTTCCTACTCAGAAGAAGCAAATTATTTAGAATATGAGTGTTGTTATTATTCAGGAGACAGCTGCCACTGAAAATACAGTTTGTTTGCTACAATTCCCAAGAAGAAGGGGCATGACACACTATGCAGGGCCATACAGGCCTAGTTTTTTTTTTTTTTTTTTTTTTTTTTTTTTTTTTTTTTTTTTTTTTTTTTTTGAGGCAGAGTCTTGCTCTGTCACTCAGGCTGGAGTGCAGTGGCATGATCTCAGCTCACTGCAACCTCTTCCTCCTGATTTCAAGCAATTCTCCTGTCTCACCCTCCCCAACAACTGGGATTACAGGTGCATATCACCATGCTTGGCTTATTTTTGTATTTTTAGTAGAGATGGTGTTTTGCCATGTTGGCCATGCTGGTCTCGAACTCCTGACCTCAAAGTGATCCCCCCGCCTCAGCCTCCTAAAGTGCTGGTATTACAGATGTGAGCCACTGCCCCCAGCCCCAGTTCTTTTTTTTTTTTTTTTTTTTTTTAGGTCTGAAACAAATTATTTGAAACCCAGTCATACCTTGTCACCTTTGGCCCAGTTGAAACTTCCCCTCCCTGTATGGTTGGTGGCTATATGGTCTATTTCTCATTCCCCTGACCTAACACACTCCAGAGCTGCTGACCATGATAAAATCTAATGGCAGGGCTGGGCACAATGGCTTGTGCCTGTAATCCCAGCACTTTGGGAGGCCGAAGTGGGCAGGTCACGAGGTCAGGAGATCAAGACCACCCTGGCCAACATGGTGAAACCCTGTCTCTACCAACATACAAAAAATTAGCCAGTCATAGTGGTGTGCGCTGGCAGTCCCAGTTGCTTGGGAGGCTGAGGCAGGGGAATCACTTGAACTTGCGAGGTGGAGGTTGCAGTGAACCGAGATCATGCCACTTCACTTTAGCCTGGTGACAGAGCAAGACTCTGACAAAACAAAACAAGACAAAACAAAACAAAACAAAATAAACAAACAAACAAATGATGGCTAATGCTACTGCAAGTAAGTTTCCTTTTTCTGGAATGTTTTCTTTAAAGTAGCTGACTCATGAACCCCATAGGAAAGCCTAAGGAATAATACCCATGGACCTTAATAAAGGCATATTTCCACAGGCCCTCACTCACCCCCTCCCGCCTTACCTGCCCCAACTGGATGAGCTCCCTGCCATCTTCACACTTCCCGTAGGCCTCTCTAACCTCTTTGGGTTCTGTGAGTAATAAATTTCTTCTCTTTCATGCAGTTTTGTTTTCACTTTCTCACTGTGCCTCACCTGACACTCACACCTAAATCTAATTCCCCCTCCGCTGAGACAGAGGTCTCTAGAGAGTGGCTATGTTGGTTTAGGGCTAGTCTAAAAAGAGAGAGCTCAAGACCAAGCTGGAAAAAAAAGATAGCAATAGGAATCCCAACAGTTGGACAGAAGAAAGAAGGAGTGACAGGCAACATTGGCAAGAACCTTTATTGTGGCTTTCACTGAACGAATGAGTGAGGAAGGGTACCAGGCTAAGTAGGTTTAGCATTGGATGGTTTGAAAAATTTGAGCAGGCTTCAAGGTGCAGGGGTTATCTCAAGTTGTTTAGTACGTGGCCCTGTGGTAATTAGGGTAGGAGAACAGGTGCTCAGAGTATGAGAGCCCAATAAAGGAGGTGGTTTGGATTGGTTGATATAATATGAAAGGCATGCTCTAGGGAAAGTAGTTTGCTATCCTTAGGAATTAGCTAACCCTGAGAGGGTCAGTCCCTCCAAGATCAGCAAGCTCCCAGAGGTAAAAACACCAGAAAATATGGATGTCAAAACATAGAAAATACAGAAAACAAGAAGGCATGATTAATACAGTATGCCCTCCTCAGTACCCAACTGATATGATTTGGCTCTGTGTCCCTACCTAAATCTTACCTTGAATTGTAATCTCCATAATCCACAGGTGTCAAGGGTGGGACCAGGTGAAGGTAATTGAATCATGGGAGCAGTTTACCCCATACTGTTCTCATCATAATGAGTGAGTCTCAGGAGGTCTAATGATTTTATAAACATCTGGCATTTCCCCTGCTGCCACTCACACTGTCCTGCCACCCTGTGAAGAAGGTGCCTGCCTCTCCTTTGCCTTCCACCAAGACTGTAAGTTTTCTGAGGCCTTCCTAGCACTGTGGAACTGTGAATCAATTAACCCCCTTTGCTTTATAAAGTACCCAGCCTCGGGTATTTCCTTGTAGCAGTGTGAGAACAGACTAATACACCAACTCTAATGGTCTTACTGTGGGAGGATATCAAAGTGACTCAAGAAGAAAAGTATAAAGCTCTTTGTCACGATCCTAGACTCTAGTGTGAACTTGACATTATTATATATTGCTATTTTTTCTGGTAAGGGACTAATTTTCCTTTTTTCGAAATATTAAAGTGATAGTCAAAATTTTTTTTTCATTTTAATAAACTTAGATTGTATATATTGTAGACCATGGGGGAGCCTCTGAAGGATGCTGCAGAAGGAGTGACAGAAAGAGATCTTTGTACTTTGGAAGATTCTACTTGGGTATAATACTAATACTAAATTAGATGGAATGAAGATTATTAAGGAGCTAGAGAGATTAATGAGACCTTTCGTATTTATTTGGTAAGCTAGTAAAAAGGGCATAAACATGGCAGTGGTTGCAGTGATTGAGATAATAAATAAAGAACTAAAATATTTAGGAGTTAGAAATGAAAGAGCTTACATACAAATTGGGTGTCCAAGGCAAATAAGGCCTAACTCTCTGTGTTCATATATTGTACAGATAAATAATCCATCAAGTCAGGAACTCAGAGGAAATACAGCTTGGGAGGGAAATATGATATGAGTTTTAACTTTAAGTGTTCAGTTGGTGTCCTGAATAAATTTAAGTTCAAATATGGAATCAAAATGGAAGGTACAGATCTTGAATTCATTAATCCATGAGTGGTGATTCTTGTGTTCCCAGTCCCCATCATAGAGCTATGAATAGCAACTATCTCATGGAAAGAGAAAGGAGAAAGGACTGCTACCTTCTCAACAATTCTTCTCTCTGAAAGTACCTTTTCCTTCCTCATTTTCTTATCTTTCTCCATCAATGGAATTGGGTGGCAATTCATTTCTGTGAAGCTCATCAGTATTTAAGGTACCCTGAGTTATCTCTGTTTAATTGTGAAAGGGTGAATTAATTCACGAGAAGAGAAACTATTTGTTGTTCTGAGACTTTAATCGGTTTCTGGATCATCCCATATTTCTTCTTCAGGAAGTTTTCACCAGCTTGCTGATAATAAAATCACAGTAGATGTTCTCCTGTTAACTGGATTCGAACAGACATTGCTTTTTCGAGGCTTCATCTTGAGGTTGAGCCTAATTTTCTACTCACTGGAATTTCGAAGGATTGTGCTACCTCCCCCCAAATTAATCAACTGATAAGAAAAAGTATTTCCATAAGTTACCTCAAAATTTGTAAGGACAAAGCTAACTATTTATCTCTTTTCATCTGACAACTAAGTTTATTCTCTTCAGAAACGTGCTCTCCACCCTCCATTCTGCCTTTCCACTTCACTGCTCTTTCATTGACAAAGGTTCTGGTCTCATCTTTCTTCTCTTTTGTTAATTTGGGGACTAAGACAATTCCGTTTCTTAACTTGAATCTCCAGTGTCCTTCAAGTAAAAGCCAGATCTATTCCACCTTCTTGCCTTTCCTTTTTAAATATGGTCTTTGTTCTGTTTTGATAAAGACCAGTTCATTCTACTTTTGTACTGTGTCCTTGGTTAAGCAGTAGTAAGAAAATTTGATCCACTGCATGGCCAAAACTCTGAACCATCTTGAGTAGTTTTGAATTCTAATTTAGTATATTTGATTGTATGCTTTCCAAATTTCTATTCCTGACTTTCTTGGCATTTGATCTCCATTGGTGTGATAGGCAGAATTCCAAGAATGACCTCTAATGACTCATGCCCATGTATAATCTCCTTCACTTGAGCATGAATGGAGCCTAAAAATATAATAAGATGTCATTCAAGCACTTATGTTACATTCTTTGATAAAATAAATATTATTCAGGTTAGCCTAACTTAATCACCAAAGCCCTTTAAAAGCAGAGTTTTTCTCTGTCTTGAAGCAGAAGTGGAGATCAGAAGGATTTCAAACATGAGACAGATTTGATGTGTATTTGAATTCAGATCAAGGGAATCAGAAAGAGACTGTAAGGAACTAAGGGCAAATCTCATTGTCTCTCTGTGACAGCCAATAATATTAAAATGGAGACCTTAAGAGTGGTAAAACAGACACATTGTAGCAATAAAATATCAATATGACTGATAGCAGGCTCTGAAAAAAAAACAAAATATTTTACCCCAAAGTATATTTTTTTGACATATTTTTAAATGGCCCTGCAAAGCTGTCTATTATGGGGAAAATATACATTCTATAGATAATTCTCTTTCCTTTCCAGGTCTTTTCCCTGATCCAGAAGAGAATTAACTTATGAGTCTAGTACCTTTTAAAGCCTGATAAGAAACACAGTCTATTCTCACTGAAGCCTGGTCCCTGGAGGCTTCATCTGCATAATAAGAACGTTGGTCCCCACAACTCAGACACTCCTTTATATTGATTCCACGTCTTTAGATAATAACTCTTTCAACCAACTGCCAATCTGAAAAGTCCTTGACTCCACCTATGACTGGAAGCCCCCTCTTTGAGTTGTCCCACCTTTCCAAACTGAACCAATGTACAGCTTACATGTATTGATTGATGTCTGATGTCTCTAAAAAGGTGTAAAACGAAGCTGTAGCCTGACCACTTTGGGCACATGTTCTTAGGCCCTCTTGAGCTTCTGCCTCTGGCCATGCTCACTCATGTTTGGCTCAGAATAAATCTCTTCAAATATTTTACAGAGTTTGGCGTTTTTTGTCCAATACTTGTGAAGAAACTTCTCTTATTTGGGGTGAGGAATTTTGTGGGCAGGCTTTTCCTCTTTGGCCTGCACCTTTTTTGTGCAGAGAGGATGTGGCTATGCAGTACTGTGGCTGAACTGCTGGTGCAGAGATATACAGATGTCTGGTTGGTGCTGGCAGACTTCAGGGTCAGGGGAAAGTATGTTATATTATTTCGAGAAACATGATACCCCTCAGAGACATCTCCTTTTTCAATGCTGCCAGGGCCAGGTGAATAATAGACCAGCTTCAGTCCAAATCCTGGGTCTTGTCGATACCAGAACATCGCAACATGATTCATATTCTGGGAACACTGTAGAATGAATTCCTTTCCTGTCCCAATAATTCTGTGTCTTGGGAATTGTGTAACTATAGCGTCCTTGAAGTCTGTTTGGGGGAAAAATGGGTGATCAAATAAAGACAGAGCCTGGAAAAGAAGACTAATGTGACTTTCATGAAGAAACATTTTATAGTTAGATCCTTGAATTCGGTGACAGGGACTCCTCACCTGTGCCCAGGACTCACCTGCTCTTAGGAGACAAATGATCACACAGCAGAGAAGCCTGCTGCTCATGGCTGCACCAGAAGCAGGATGCTACAATGAATTTAGTCTCTGATACCAGCACATTTCATTTATTTCCTGGCCAGAGAAACAACACTCTTCTCCCACACTGCCAACAGCTACATAACTGCAAATCGTATAGACCAGACATGCGCAATAGTAAAATCTTTGACTTTTAACAATACCTAGAACCAAAGACTCCTCCCCTTAGAAACAAGACCAAGACATGACTGAAACCTGAAAGCCAGACCTCTTTCAATAGTGAAGGGTCCACTGGCCCAGATGATCCCAGGTTAAAATGTATCTCAACACACCTTACCATAGATAGTTATATTTGGAGCCCTCTAATCAGACCCTACCAAGTCAACATTTCTAAATCCTTTCCCTTGTTCTCTGATCCCTTAAAACCTCCCCTACACCCCGAATCAAGGAGACAGATTTGAGCCAACTCCTTTCTTTTTGCTGACTGGTTTTTCAATAAAGCCCTTTCTTTTCTCAAAAGCTGATGCCATAGTTATTGGCTTCTGTGTGCAAACCCATTTGCTTGATAGCAAATCTTGGTGCCCAATGCGAGGCCAACGCCAGCCAAGGCACTATACCCCCTCAGTGGGGACAAAAGCTTCTTCGCTGACCCTGAGTGGTACTACCTAGACTAGTTTATCCAGAGGCTCAGCTGTGGGGTCCTTATTCTCTGTCATGACATTTCAAGCTCCTTGAGTGCTACTTTCTCTTTTGAGAAAAGAAATTACTTCTGGATAAGATGTCTTTTGGACTCATATGTTGTTAATATGTGCTTACACCTTAAATTGTCTTTGGTCTAGGACTATAGAGTCCTATTTTTGTGTAGTATCATGGGTTTGAATCCTACCCTAGGGAGATCCTGGTTAGATTATTACAGTCCTGGCTTTGGGGTAGGATCCCAAAGAATAAGTGCAATACTAAGATTCAGTAACTGTTAGAGTTCTCAGGTTGGCTTGGTTTTGGTTTTCCTTTGTCTGTGTGTGTGAATTTTTGATTTGCATAATTATTTGTCCTAACAGAGGTTAAAATTTTTGGTGGTTGTGACAAGAACCTCATTAGAAGTTTGTTTAAATGAAAGTCCTTGGATTCCAAAGATGAAATACATTGCTTCCTCCTGCCCTTTTAGAGTGTTCCTAAGAGACTGGCAGAGGTGTTGAGGTTATTGGCCTGTGACATAAAGTAATTTTATAGGCAGTCCCACCAGAAAAAACATTCCCCATTCCTGGGTTAGAGAAAACTTCAACAGCTCATCCAGGAGGAGCACATAAGGGGCCTTGGGAACGCTAACATCTCAAGCAATCCAATACCATCTGGTGTTAAGGACCCTCTGAGACATGAAAGAGGGCATATCTAGCCCATTGGTGATTCTCTGAAGATGAATACCTATAGTCACCATACCATAGACTCAGAAAACCTTCTTAGTACAAGAACTTGTTCCAGTCATTTCAGATAAACTTCTACAAAATGGAAAACTTTAGTAACATACTTGTCTATGGACTTTTAAGGTAAAATTCCCCACAAGTCAACCCACCACATGCCACAGCTTACTAATAGCAACCAGTAATGATGAGACCCAGAGACTTTTATACACTCAATTAGCTCTGTCAACATTTCCCACAAAGAAGTGCAGATGACAATTGCTGTGGAAAAAGAGATGCATAGATTTTCTAGCTGAACCTGGAGCTACATACTCTATCCCAAACACAAGACAAAGCTTCTTGTTCCCAAAGGCCACTGCTCTTACTGGTGTATCTGGGGAATCACCTTTGAAAGCCTTTCCTTCAGCCACTCAAATGCCATAGAGGGAAAACCTATTTAAACGTAGCTTCCTATATATACCTGAATGTCCAATACCTTTTCTGGGATAAGACTTGCTAACAAAATTAAATGCACAAGTAATTTTTCACCAGAACGAGTAAATATTAGGGTGTCTCTTAGACAAGCTTACACCCTCCAAGTTGCCTTATTACAAGTAGAAGAAGGCCCACTCCCTGAAATCCATGAAGAGGCTCTATCAGAGCAGGCCTGACTTGACAAATTAATTTTTGAAATACCCAGACCTGGGAATGTTCACCAATGTGAACAGATTCATGGATCAGGATCTCTGAAAAGCCAGATATACAGTAGTGACTTACCAGAAAATCTTAAAAGCTGACGCTTTCCTACCTGGTATCTCTGCTGAAAAAGCAGAACTCATGCCCTCACATGAGCTTCACATTTCAGGACAAAGAAAAAGGTAACCACTTATACAGACTCCAAACGTGTCTTTTTGGTAGTGCATGCAAATGAAGCCATATAAAAAGACAGAGACTCACTAATCTCATAAAAAAATTAAACATACAAGAGAGATATTAGACTTCTTAGACTCCATTTTGCTGCCAAAAAAAGTGGCCATAGTGTACTGACCAGGACACCAGAAAACTGATAGCTAGATAACTAAATGCAATAATCTAGCTGATCAGGCAGAAAAACATACAGCCAGGACAAAAGAGCCTAAAACAAAGGCTCTGGTACTTATTCCAAGTATGAATCTGGCCTTATTTAACCGAGTACTCAAAGGTAAATCTAGAAAGAGCAAATCGGTAGAGATTTCATACTCGTACTCAAGACTTGGATAGATGCCTGTTGGTACTTGTAGACACCTTCACTAGATGGGTCAGGGTCCTTCCATATCAAACAAAATGCATCTGAGGTAACTCAAGCTTTATTAAAAGATGTAATTCCTTACTTTGGATAGCCAACTTCAATGCAAAGTGACAACAGAGATAACAGACTTACATAAGAAGTTTATGGAACACTTAGGATGCAGAGGAAATTATGCATCTCTGAGAATCTCCAGTCTACAAGAAAGACTCAAAAGATAAATAATATCTTAAAAAATACACTTGCCAAAATGTGTCAAAAAACCAATTTAACACAGGATAAGGTCTTGACATTTGCCCTACTTAGAGTAAGATTGGCCCCTAAAAGCAAGCACCGGGTTAGCCCCTACAAAATTCTATGTGATACATCCTTTCTTAAGACTAAATATTATTTTAATCTTGAAAATGATCATAATGTAAATGCATTAGATGCTATAAAACGTACAGTCTCTGGGTACAACTTCATCTGCTACACATAATTACACTTCTAGCTATCTTAATGTTTCCTATAGATGTTCCTTTACATTGTCTAAGTTCAGGAAACTGAGTGCAACTTAAGACCTAGAAAAATCACCATCCTGAAGACCAACTACAGTCCAAATAGAATAGGCCCTATGAAGTTCCTTTAGTGATCTGTTCAGCAATAAAGATAAAAGGTTTGAGGCCCTAAATTCGTCATTCATGGGTAAAAGTTATTCCCATTTTCAGAAGATTCCTCTTGGCCCCTGTAAAATTCTAAAACAGGTCATACCCTTCACAGATAAGTAAAACCAAAGGACCAGACTGAGCAGACACCAGATGGCTGTGGAGGCCCACAACCAGCTTTTCCACCCTGAAACACTCTTGGAAACTTGTAACTGATTTTCAAAAAACCCAATAAGACCAAAAAGCCTCCTGGATCTCCAGATAAATGAAAATCTGTTCCTGTCTCTAACACCAACCTCCACCTGATGGAACTGGGAGGACAGAAACAGGAGACAGCTAAAGGAGAAAGCTTGCCCAAGATATCGGACCAAGCCTGTATTAATGCAAGTAAATTTCTACCTTGGTGTCATATACATGATTCTACGCTATTGAATTAATCATCTCTACCTCCTTGATTTCACCTCAAAAATGTTATTTAGGACCTTAGAGCCCTTCCTTGGGTAGAGTTTATTTTATTCTGATTCTTTTCTTTCTGTCAGCCAAATAGCTGCTCCCAGGGAAACAAAACCATTTCCTCTGTTAACAATGCCCAGTTTTTCTCTATTATATCCTTTTATATCCTTTTGCTTGCCCCAACCTCAACATAAAAATATAATTTCTTTTCTTTCTTTCTTTCTTTCTTTTTTTTTTTGAGATAGAGTCTCACTCTGTCATGCAGGTTGGAGTTCAGTAGCATGAGCTCAGCTTGCTACAACCTCCGCCTCCTGAGTTCAAGCAAGCACGTCTGGCTAATTTTTGTATTTTTAGTAGAGACAAGATTCCACCATGATGGCCAGGCTGGTCTCAAACTCCTGACCTCAAGTGATCCACCTACCTTGGCCTCCCAAAGTGCTGGGATTACAGGCATGAGCCACCACGCCCCACCAAAAAGATAATTTCTTGATAAAAATGTCCCAATCCCTACCTACCTCACAAAATCTATCTAAATGTTAAAGATGTCATCCAAAACCTTCCTCTGCACTTGATTGTGCTGATCCACTGCTTATCTCTGTAACCATCTTCTCTAAAGTGCCTAATTTTCTGGTGACCTATGATCAAAAACCCACAGGTATAACCTATGGGGTCAGATTTGCTGGTAGAGGATTGTTAGTTCCTGTTTTCCATTAGCATCTCCTGCAAGGACACCTATGTCAACAGCTAAAAAACTGTGAGGATAAAGGGTTCTATGCTCACAGAAGCTAGACATTGGCTAATGCAGAAACAGAAATCATCGTTTACTTGACACACCTACATTCCACCATTCCACTTCCTGTTTTCTATCCTCTGGTCCAGGAGAGATATAGTGGCATATCCTCAAACTGTAGATCTACATGATTACATCAAGATTTAAATAAAAAGAACCTATTAGAACTTCAAGGATTGCCCTCTTCCCTACCAATTTGTAAATCAGATAACTCTTTTAGACTCCACTATACTCTGGCTTCTAGTTTGATCAAGTCCAAAGTAAAATTCCCCAAACTGAGAACTTAAATGTTAACATGGTTGGTATTTTATGCGCCTCCTCAGGATACGTCTTTGTCTATGAAACAAATGGCCAGCCCTGGGACTATGAATGCCTTGACAGCTGATGCCCAAGAGACATCTGTTTACTAGGGTACTTAGTCACTCCTTTCGTTGACTATAACGTTAATGATGCTAGGCATTAGACTAACACCATAAAACCGTTCACAATGGCCAAAAGATCTATGCTAAACATGCTCCCAGATAAATATTTACCAGGTGGCCCACCAGATGGTGTAGGATATTTCTTTAGACAAACTCTGTTGCCATGGCAGGGAGTTGCTTCTCATAAACATATGATTAAAAACCTTTCTCTCTCCTTGAAAAAGCTTGCCAAGGAGACCACATCGGCTACGGCGGCTCAACAGAGAGAGTTAGGTGCTTTGGCTAAAGTAATACTAGATAATAAAATTACTCTAGGTTATATACTGGCTAAACAAAGAGGTGTTTGTGCTTTGACTAATATATCATGCTGTGTTTACATTAAAACTTCTAAAAAAAGTTGAGACCCACCCAAATAATATTACACCAAAAACCACTTGAACACTTCTAGTGTT